CTTCTGCAGGGGTCTACCGACCACCACGTGTTCCTCATGGATTTTAGGAACTCCTTGTGTTCTAAGAGGGACACGTGTTGCAGAGCAACCCTGTAGCTTGGGTATCTTACTGGGTGTAGTCGGTTCGTTCTGCTTCTGCAGGGGTCTATCGACCACCACCTGTTTCTCATGGATTTTAGGAACTCTTTGTGTTCTAAGAGGGACACGTGTTGCAGAGCACCCCTGTAGCTTAGGTGTCTTACTGGGTGTAGTCAGTTCCTTCTTCTGCAGGGGTCTACCGACCACCACGTGTTCCTCATGGATTTTAGGAACTGTTTGTGTTCAAACAGGGACACGTGTTGCAGGGCATCCCTGTAGCTTCGGTGTCTTACTGTGTGTAGTCAGTTCCGTCTGCTTCTGCAGGGGTCTACGGACCACTACCTGTTCCTCATGGATTTTAGGAACTCTTTGTGTTCTAAGAGGGACACGTGTTGCAGGGCACCCCAGTAACTTTGGTGTCGTACTGCTGGTGGTCAGTTACTTCTGCTTCTGCAGGGGTCTATCGACCACCAACTGTTCCTAATGGATTGTAGAATGATATGTCTGAATATACAGCTAGAACAACAACGAATACAGCAATAATAATAATAATAATAATAATAATAATAATTAATAAGAGGAACAAGAAGCTGGTTTTCCAATGAGATTAAGGTGTCTCTGTTGACAACAAAAATGGGAACCAAACGTTATATATGACACTATTAGTATGAGATGGTTGTTATTTTGCCTTGTCCTGTATAGGCTATGCAATATAAAATCTTGTTTATAACAGAACCACTGCTGCTGACCTCTGTGAATAAAAGTTAACTACACTGAAGAATGAAGTTCATATAAATGATATTTAAAATTAAACTTTTATCTCACAGAAGACACTCTTTCTCCATTACAAAACTGAACCAGATAGACTTGAAAAGATTCTGACGATGGTGTATACCGTACTTCTTTTGGTTTGTTTCGGACTTCATCCATCGTCTGGTATGTAAAAGACAAAAGATCGCAACGTTCCGGAGACTGGATCTGTCTCCGTCTTCAGGTCATCCTAATTGCTCATCTTGAACATTTTAATGAATAACATGAGGAGAAATAAGGAAATATAAAAAAATTAAATTTAAATAGATCAGTGTTAATAAATAAGAAGAAATTCTGCGAAGACCCGATCACCACTTTCTTTTCACTATAACTACAGGTTAGATGCAACAAATAAAGATTACGCCATTGAGGTGTACATGAAGTACACACAATTTATTTAAGCATTCAAGTAGTATTAAAGTTACGGCCTCAACAATCCAAGGTTCTGCGATGTTGGCATTGGTCATGCATCAGGACTCATGTCACATGATATACATAATAAATTTCGCGACTATCGATTCTGGGATTCAAGTATCCTGAGGTTATTACATGAAAATTTTCAGAAGCTGCAAAAGTGGTATTACTGATTGAAGGGATTTATGAAGTTTGTCCTTGAAATTGATTCATGTAACATGGTATACATACAAAGATTCATTACGATTTGTTCAGGCATTTAAGTAACATACGGTTATTAGCATAAAAATCTGAGAGGCCATAATGTTGGTACTACTTCTCGAAATGCCGTTGAAATAACTTCATGTGGTAGGATGGGTATACTAAGATTAATGTAGACTGGTGCAGCAGTTAATGCTTCAGAAATTAGAGAAGCTGTAATGTTGGTATTACTGACGGGAGAAATTTATGAATTATGCCGTTAAGATGGGAGTCAGGTGATATGATATACATACCAAGATTCATAAAGATTGGTTCTAGTATTCGAAAATTAAAAGGAGGGAAACACAGAAGAAAGAAAGAAAGAAAGAAAGAAAGAAAGAAAGGGAAACGGGTTGACAACCACTGAACTAGTCTATATATAAATTACTGCGTCTCTGAAATTTACATGCATATCCAGCATTAATTTGTCCTGGAAACCGCTGAGTTCTGGTAAACGATCTTGCCGTGACTGCTTGGAAGAGACAGGCTGGACGATTCGACGGGTTCGGGCAGTTGAATGGTCCGTGGCAAATTTGGGGGGCTCGACATTCAGGAGATTTGTGTGTTTGGGTTTAGGTTGGGGAGCTGGGACAGTTAACAGTTCTTCTCTTGTTTTGGGTGAACTTCTGCTGGATTTCGAGGACACAGTCACTTTGAGTTCTGGGGCCGGCGGGACCTGTGACCATATTCTTTTGTCTGCCGACCCTGACTGAGTCATGAGACTGTCTCCTTTTCTTAGCTCTGAAGATGTAAATCTAATTGGGGGAATTGGGGTGATTGGGGCACTTTGTGGGCTTTGGAGGATCGGTGTAGTTATAATACCATTTTGTATCGGCCATGAAAACATAGATTTACCTAAATAATAATAGAAAATTTAACGTTTACGTCACTAACGTCACACTTGTTACCCTAAAGTAAAATTTAGTGCCATTTCTCACACTCATAGGAGTTGATATTATTTCGTATGTACTCATATGTTTCTGTGGTCTAGTGGTCAGTTCGGTATTGAAAACCTTAATCATTCTATTTTCACGAGCACATTTTAGGTGTCCGCCACATTTTAGCCTTTTCACTTTTATCGAGCCAATAATATCTGGTTTATTAAATAGTTTGTATAGCTTAAAGTTATACCTCTTCCTCCCTGCCCAATTTTCTTCCACTGATCCAAAATTATATCTTAAGATTCCGCTCTCAAAGATACTATGACGTGATGCGCTACGGTGGACACCCCGCCCACCCTAGCGGTGACGTGCCGGCATCGGAGCGCTGTCGTTTCAACGTTAAAAGTAAGTCAACACTCCTTCCCCTACCCCGCCAGCGGTGACGTAACACTTTCCGAGCGTTGTCATTGCTACGGTAATAGACCAGTCAACACCCCGCCCCTTCTCGTGGTGACATGACCAAGGGATCCCGCTGTTGCTATGCACCGGTAAACAACTCCCGATGACGTTGCTAGGCTATCGGCAAACACGTCGTCAGGCAACAGCGGTACCTATCACGTAATTGTTTTCTGTCTTGTCCGTTTCGAGGCTAAATAAGGAGCAGCGAACACTATTCAGGAGTGAGTTTTGTGATAAGGAGTAACAGTGCGGATCGTGACAACGGAAACAAAAATACCGGAACGTGTGATAGTCAATGATAATTTGTGATAGCTGAGAATGTATTGGGAGTGTGTAGTACAGTGTCACAGATATAGCTCCCGTATCGTACTATGAATACGTGTAGACTACTGAGGACAGAGTGTACAGAATTGTGTGTAGAGTTTGTTAATTTTTTAACCCGTAAGAGTGTGTAGAGTTGGTAAAGAGTGTAAACCCGTAACAGTGTTATAATTAATTGTAGCCGAGACTTGTAGGTTGTTAAATAAACCAATTAACAATCGTAACGGTGTCTTCAGTGGCAAGACACCCTACACTGGTTTCAGAATTTTCTACGAAATTCAACTCGCCACAAACAAATTGTTGTACATCGAGTATTTTACTGCTACATTGTGGAAATGCAGCAGATGGAGAAGGACGAACCCCGGCGTATTCATTAAGGCCCCCACGCTACGCACTCACCGACATCACGGATAAAGCCAATACCAGTTTGGTCACATAGAGATGGGTCGGTGATAAGCCGTGCCAGGTGACTGTGGACACTGGAGCATACGTCATGATATTAAGACCGAATATCGCCGCCGGATGGCCTGAAAGACAGCCGAATCCAAATCCACGCTGCCGACCGTGTCTGGACGATCCCTACTAATCCTGAAAGAAGTTCTGTTGAACCTTACTCCGGGGATCCGACAGATAATAATTATAATAATTATGGTTTTCGTAGCGAATATCACAGATGAACTCACCTTGGGGCCGGACATACTTCGCGCCTATGATGCGTCGGTGGACATAGGGGGCCAAACTCTGCGTCTGGTGGAAGAAGAAGTATCGTTATGGAGTCCAGGAACCGGGCCCTGTCTGTCCAGCTTAGTAGTGGGAAACGACCATGTGATACCTGCACATAGCGAAGGAATAGTGCTGGCTAGAATGGAGAATCATCTGGGAGTAGAAAGTGGTCTAGTAGAACCAAGCTAGCAAGCCCATCAGACTGATTTAATCTTTGTAGCCAGGACCCTAGTTCAGGACTGTCAGGAAGTACCAGTGAGGGGCATGAATATTACCCAAAGAGACCAAAAAACTCAGGAGACGATCTCCTCTGGCGCACTGTGAGCCAGTAACACTTGTGACTTTTCCCGTTGTGGGGCAGCCACCAGCACCAGGCCTAATACCAATATTAGCGGACGTGACCACAGCGGCCAAGCCACACCTAAACACCAGAGAATTTCAAGAATTCGAGGAACTCGTGGCTGAGTGCGCGGATATCTTTGCGAAGGACAACGACGATTATGGAAGGACAAATAAAGTATATCACCACATGGGCACGGGAGAAGCCCGACCAATTCGACAGCCACCGAGGAGGGTACCCCTGGCAAAACTAGCAGAAGTAAATGAGATGCTTGATAACATGCGAGGACAGGGGTTATATAAGAATCGGACAGCCCTTGATGGTTCTCTGTCGTTTTTGGTAAGGAAAAAGAATGGGTAGATCCGTTTCTGTGTGGACTACAGAAAGCTGAACGACGTCACCAAGAAGGATATTCTTTCCACTACCCCGCATTGACGACTCCCAGAACACGATGACCGGAGCCAAATGGTTTCAAGGCTCGATTTAAAGAGTGGCTATTAGCAAGTCGATGTACACACAGACGACAAAGAGAAAACAGCTTCTTCGACAGGTCAAGGGTTATGGCAGTTCACAGTCATGCCCTTTGGCCTCTGAAATGCTCCGGCAACCTTCGAGAGGCTAATGGAGACAGTCCTACGAGGTCTCACGTACGATTCATGCCTTGTGTATTTGGGTGACGTGATCGTAATAGGTCGCACATTCCAAGAGCACATGCTCAACTTACGGAAAGTGTTTGAGAGCTTCAGGAAAGCCCGTCTGAAATTTAACCCGGAAAAGTGTAAACTTGCAGAAAGAAGTCAGGTACCTCGGTCATATTGTATCAACAGAAGGTATATCCACCGACCCGGCAAAATTGAAAGCCGTGCGAGAATGGCCGACCCCGAAGGATAAAGATGAAATTAGAAAGCTTTCTGGGACTATACACTTACCACAGGCTGTTTATCTCAGGTTTTTCCAGTAATGCAAAACCACTAACTAGACTAGCGGACGAGAAACAAACCTTCCAGTGGACTCAAGAAGTGGAGGCCTCTTTTCAAACTCTAAAGGGAGCCCTATGTGCTTCCCCTATCCTTGCCTAGCCACAGCCAGGAGAAAAGTTGATCGTGGACACAGATGAAAGTAATGTCGGAATTGGAGTTCTCTCTCAAATACAGGACGGACAAGAGCGTGTTATAGCTTACTTCAGCAAGACGCTAAGCGAAGAAGAGAGAAACTACTGCGTCACCCGTCGAGAACTACTTGCCATAGTGAGGACGATGGAACATTTCCACAAGGAACTATACAGACAACAGTTCCATCTGCGAACGGACCACTGCGCTTACCTGGCTCATGACTTTAAAGAACTTAGAAGTACAAGGTGCGCGGTGGATACAGCGCCCACAAGAGTACAACTTTACTTCTGAGCCTTGTCAAGACCGGAAACAAAACAACGCCGACGCCCTTTTTAGACGATCCTGCTAAGAGCAATGTACTTGACAGTCTTTGATCCAGCCCTGACAATGGCGAGGTCTCAGATGCATAAGATAGCATTGGGCTTAAATGTACAGTGTTATTAAAGAGAATGAACCGAATTCATGACGCGTCATTGAATTAGTCAGTGACAATTTGAAACGGGAGTTATCAAAGTTGTGAATGGCTGCCACAGGGGAGCTGAAGTCGAGTCGTTCTTCCGGCAACATTCAGTTGTTCGTTTACCCTCGGAATGGAGAGTCCTCAGCAAAAGCGTTCTGCGTTCTCGAGTTCGCGAAAACAAATTCGGTTGTCACGGTGCAGCGTGCTTTTCGAAGGCGATTCGGCATTAATCCGCCCTGTCCTAAGAACATTCGACGGTGGTTTCGACAGTTTCAAGAGAGTGGGTGTCTGTGTAAAGGAAAAGGTCCAGGACGACCACGAGTCTAGGAGGAACAAGTGGCGAGAATCCGTGCTGCGTTTGAGAGGAGCCCGCGAAAGTCAACAAATTGAGCCAGCCGTGAGCTTGCGATCCCTCAATCCACTGTCTGATGTGTGCTAACAGTACGTCTACATCTGAAACCATACAGACTGCAGCTTGTTCAGGCACTTGCCAATGACGACAAGAGGAAGCGGATGAAATTTTGCGATTCGATGCTGGAGATGATGGATGACGAACCCTTGTTTTCACGTTTAATTTTTAGTAATGAAGCGATTTTTCACTTCAGAGGCAAAGTCAGCCGTCACAATGTGCGTATGTGGGGGAACAGAGCACCCACATGAAACAGCTGAGTACGAAAGAGATTCCCCTAAGGTGAACGTCTTCTGTGCTGTGTCTCAGGACAAGGTTTATGGTCCCCTTTTCTTTGAAGGAAACGCCTTTACAGGACAAACCTATCTCGATTTGCTCCAAAACTGGCTCTTCACTTAATAGCAAGCAGATTCGCATGACTTCATTTTTTAACAAGATCGAGAACCGCCCCGTTAGCACGTGATGGTCCGAGCTTTTTCAAATGAAAGAAGTGCCCCAGGGATGGACTGGTCAGAAGGAGGCCCAAGACCTTGCCCTTTGTCCTTGGTCTGCAAGATATCCAGACCTCACCGTGTGTGATTTCTTCTTGTGGGGATATGTAAAATATCACGTTTATGTTCCACCGCTACCCACTAACCTCGATGACCTTAAACATCGGATAACAACAGGAATTAACTCAGTGCATCCTGTTATGCTGATACGCGCCTGGGAGGAATTCTCTTATTGCATTGATGTTGCCCGTGCTGCAGGTGGTGGCCACATTGAACACTTGTAAGCAGGAAATAAAAGTTGATTGTGAGTAGAATACTTGTGACTTGGCTGGAGTTTTGTATTACTTTCATTTAATAAAATATTGCATAATAAAATCGGTTCATTCTTTTTTAATAACTCTGTACTTTGAACATCATAATTTTAGTTTTCCTGGGTATCTAGTGAGACTCATGTGTTTCATGAGCCTGTGGAAACATTTATGAGCCTTGAGGACACGCTTTTTCATCTCACCATTGACTTAATTTTTACAGTTAACCTCTGATCCAAAACGAAAGTATGTTCAACACCAATTTATATTAACCAATTTCTACATGTGCAGATCCGTTATTGCATTCTTTCTTAGTCACAAGCTTGTACTTTCTTTTATCTTGATTATTTTCCAGGTGTATCTTCTTGCTGATCTTTCCAAACTAATAAAAACTTCTTTCATAACTTTTTGTGTTGTTCTGAGTATATCAGTTTCATCTGCAAAAGCCCAAATCTGAACTTAGTTATGGAACATAGTTCCTCTTATATTAATGGTTTCATCTCTATTTTATTTTCTCTACCGATACATTAAACAAAAGGCAGGCTAGGGAATCCCAATGTCAAACTCTGTTTCTGGATATTATAATGCTGGACAACATGTTCTGGATCTTAATTTGGCACTGAATCTTTCTCACAGTAGCTCTGACCAATACAATTAAATACCGTGAAATGTGCATCTCTTCTATTGCCATAAAGAGATTATTTATATCCATACTGTCATAGGCTGATCTAAAGTAAATGAAAAATGATGTGTTTCAATTTAAAATTCATAACATTTTTCAAGGACCTGGCATATAGTGAAAAATCTAATGTTCAGTCAATGTTCCTTGACGAAACCCACATTGGTAACCTCACAATGTGCCATAAATTAAATGTTTAAAAATATTTTACAAGCAATGCCTAGAAGAGTAATGCCTCTACAGTTAGACCATGCCACGATAAAGCCTCTGTTATGGATAGGGCACACAATTCTTAGATTTCAGTCCTCTGGAACTATTTCATTTATGTATACTTTGAGCATTAGTTGATGTCGGCGCTGAACATATTCTGGATGCCAGATAACGCTGGCTCCAAATCAGCACTAAATGTAATTTGTTCCGAATGATAATCAGACTTGCTGTCTTAAGTATAACAATAAATATTCCCTCGAAATAACATCACTATTCATACCAATTGAAAGAATGCGAACAGATGAAATAAATCGAAATTTCTAAGATCTACTCTAAATATGAACGATAACATAGGTCTGCAAAAATTATTTTTTTTTCAGCTGCATGGAATATTTTTGCTAAACTTTATGTTTTCTAGGATGCTGAATCCAAAAATGACCTCAATTTCCCCCTATCACGTACGGTTTTTTTTGGAAAATAATAGAGGTTTACAATAAAAAATGATAACAGCGATGAAAAAAACGCTAATTTTATTACATTGAACTAAACATATTATTTCTCATTATATTTAACATTCTGTGTTCAGTCTTTTTGCCTGTGAAACCTTTTCTTCTTCTGTTTCATACTTCTGCGAACACACTTTCGCTTTCCATTTTCCGTTTCCCGCTTGATCATCCAGCAGTAGTCAGCTAGCATATTCGCATTTCATCTTCTTTGGTAGCGTCTANATTTAAAATTCATAACATTTTTCAAGGACCTGGCATATAGTGAAAAATCTAATGTTCAGTCAATGTTCCTTGACGAAACCCACATTGGTAACCTCACAATGTGCCATAAATTAAATGTTTAAAAATATTTTACAAGCAATGCCTAGAAGAGTAATGCCTCTACAGTTAGACCATGCCACGATAAAGCCTCTGTTATGGATAGGGCACACAATTCTTAGATTTCAGTCCTCTGGAACTATTTCATTTATGTATACTTTGAGCATTAGTTGATGTCGGCGCTGAACATATTCTGGATGCCAGATAACGCTGGCTCCAAATCAGCACTAAATGTAATTTGTTCCGAATGATAATCAGACTTGCTGTCTTAAGTATAACAATAAATATTCCCTCGAAATAACATCACTATTCATACCAATTGAAAGAATGCGAACAGATGAAATAAATCGAAATTTCTAAGATCTACTCTAAATATGAACGATAACATAGGTCTGCAAAAATTATTTTTTTTTCAGCTGCATGGAATATTTTTGCTAAACTTTATGTTTTCTAGGATGCTGAATCCAAAAATGACCTCAATTTCCCCCTATCACGTACGGTTTTTTTTTGGAAAATAATAGAGGTTTACAATAAAAAATGATAACAGCGATGAAAAAAACGCTAATTTTATTACATTGAACTAAACATATTATTTCTCATTATATTTAACATTCTGTGTTCAGTCTTTTTGCCTGTGAAACCTTTTCTTCTTCTGTTTCATACTTCTGCGAACACACTTTCGCTTTCCATTTTCCGTTTCCCGCTTGATCATCCAGCAGTAGTCAGCTAGCATATTCGCATTTCATCTTCTTTGGTAGCGTCTATCGATATCACGGACATCCTGATGAAATCGTTCACCCTGCTCTTCACTATAGGCTCCCAAGTTTTCGGGAAAGTAGTCGACAT